TGTCCCCTTAGAGGCCAGCTCATCCCTGGGTGGATCCCTGGGTGGGATCAGCTTATGGCTTTTTCTGGATCTGGGTGTTGCCTGTCAGTAAGCCTGTCACAGCAGCTGTGTCCGGGCCCCTAAGTCTGTTATGGTAGCTCTGTGGTCAAGCTGTTTTGGGCCCCCCACAGTTTCAAATGTAAGATTTTCCTTTAAGTTCCTAAACGTGTCCCTAGTCTATATCTGCCCAAGCAGATTTCCACTCCCCTGACAGACACCATCCAGGAATCAATTGTGGACTACAAATTGCTCCAAAGGAACTTCCACCGAACCAGCCTCAACCTGGGTCAGTGAACCCAGATGCTTCTGACGAATGCCCACTGTGGTGGTTTGAATAAAAAATGGCCCCCACGGGCTCATAGGGAGTGGCATTATTTGAAAGGATTAAGACCTGTGGCCTTGGTGTGTCCCTGGGAGTGGGCTTTGAGGTTTCAGAATCCCAAGCCAGGCCCAGTGGCACTCTTTCTTTTCCTGCTGCCTGCCAATCCAGATGTGTCTCAGCTCCTTCTCCAGCACCATGTCTGCCTGTGTGCTGCCATGCTCCTTACCATGATGGTAATGGACTAAACCTCTAAACTGTAAGCTAGCCCCAATTAAATGTTTTCCTTTAGAAGAGTTATCATGGTCATGGTATCTCTTCACAGCAATAAAAGCCCAACTAAGACAGAAGTTGGTACCAGGGACTGGAGTATGGCTGTAATAGGCTGGATCATGTTTTTGTTTGGAGGAATATGGAACACTTCCAGACTAGAAAAGCAGTTGAATACTTTAAATGAGGCTTAATGGACCATACCAATAGGAGCAGAGAAGAGAGTGGTGTTGAGTGTGATTTTAACCTGTTGGGGCCCAGATTAAGATATTTCAGAGGATAAGAATATTACAACGTGGCCTAGAGACCATCCTTGTGATACTTTGGTGGCTACTTTCTGCACTTGTCCAAAAAATCTGGCTGAGGCTAAACTGAAGAGTTATGGATTAACAGCTTTGTCAGAGGAGAGTTCCAGACCATCTAGTATCGACTGTGTTGTTTAGGTATCAGTGCTCAGTCTTATGCAGATCTGCAATGAAATGGAGCAAGCTGAGCAAGGAAAAATACAAAATGTAGATTAAAAAGTTTAAAGAAAAACCTGATGATAAATAAAGTGAACTGGAGTGGTGACCTTGGGGCAAGACCCCACCCAGATAAGCTTCCAACTTGTAAAAAGGTAGTAAAGAAAAGTTTAGGGTCAGATGTGGTACTACATGTATTTAATTCTAGCACTCAGGAGGCAGAGGCTGGCAAAGTTCAGAGTTCAAGGCCAGTCTGGTCTACAGAGTGAGTTCAAGGACAGCCAAGTTTAGGTAGTAAATGGAACCATCAAAAGCAGAAAGCTGGTGAAAATGTATTTGAACAAGGAGGCCATGTTCTGGCCCCAGCAAGCAATAGAACTTGGCAGGTTTGGCCACATAGTTCTAGCTTCAGAGTCAAGGATACAAGAAATGGTTATGGAATCTCCATCTGTAACTAAGGAAAGCTGCTGAGGCTAGGCATGTGTCAGAGATGTCCCTGCATGGAGACCTAGAGAGGCCATTGTGTGTCACTGTGAAGGTGAATCCTGGATTGCTTTGGTAGCTCCAAAATGTTGGAAATGCCAGAGTTGTGGGATACCTGCTAAGGAGAGTTGCTAAGAAGGAGCAGAACCAGCCCAAGAGAAGGAAGTGCGTTGCAGTCAACAGAGCTGGAAGGAGTTGGAGATCTGAAAAGCACTTTAACACCAGACATGGAGATGCAGAGTTTAGAGTTTGCCCAGCTGGTTTTCAGTCTTGCTTTGGTCCAGTATTTCCTCATTATGTTCCCTTCCCTCCTTTTTGGAATGGTAATGTATATTGTGTGCCAATGTATGTTGTAAGTATGTGACCTGCTTTTTTATTTTGGTTTTACAGGGAGTTACAGTTAAGAGACTGCCATGAGTCTCAGAAAAGTTTGAACTTTTAAACAATTGAGACTATGAGAAACTATGGGAACTTTTGAAGATGAACTGAATGAATTTTTGTATTATGATATGGCTACAAACCTATGGGGACCAGGAAGTAGAATGTGGTGGTTTGAATGAAAATGTCTCCCATGGGCTCATAGAGACTGGCATTATTTGAAATGGTTAGGACCTGTGGCCTTGTTGGAGGAAGTGTGTCACTGGGGGCAGGCTTTGAAGTTTCAAAAGCTCAAGACAGGCCCAGTGGCTCACTCTCTCTTCCTATTGCCTGCCAATCTAGATGTAGAAGTCTTAGCTACCTCTCCAGTATCATGTGTTGTTTTAAAAAATGATAAGTGGCGCTGTTATCAGGCGAAAAGGTCATGAAACATGACAAAACCCAGTATCAAGAGCTTATTATGAGGAGGGGGGGACAAAAGAGCCAGGCCTGGGGAAGAAACACGTGCAGAGAGCAGAGAGAGAGAGAGTGGGAGAGGAGAGAGCAGAGAAGAGAGAGGAGGAGTCTGTGTCTGGCTTTTTTTTTTTTTTTTTTTTTTTTTTGGTTTTTCGAGACAGGGTTTCTCTGTGTAGCTTTGCGCCTTTCCTGGAACTCACTCTGTAGTCCAGGCTGGCCTCAAACTCACGGAGATCCACCTGCCTCTGCCTCCCGAGTGCTGGGATCTAGGATTAAAGGCGTGTGCCGCCGCCACCCAGCCGCGTCCGGCTTTTTGAGGATTCCCATGCACATGTGCATGTGGGCTTACGGAGCTACCACGCATGCGATTGTGTGACTGCGCTGCACGCATTTGCACAATCACGCAGCACATGGATGACGTAAGATGCAAAACCCCTTGCTTAGCTCCTGAACTGCATATGTGCAGTCATGCAGCTGAAGTAGCAGCAGAATCCTAACACCATGTCTGCTTGTGTGCCTCAATGCTTCCTGCGTGGAAATAATAGACTAAACCTCTGCATTGTAAGCCAGCCCCAATTAAATGTTTTCCTTTATAAGAGTTGCTGTGGTCATGGTGTCTCTTCACAGCAATAGAAACTCTAACTAAGACAGTGATCAGTGTGGGAGGACCCAACCCACTGAATGCAGTGCCACCCTAAGGCAGGTAGTTACCTAGTAAGTAAGGTAACTGAACTTGAGCTCAGGAAACAAGCCAATAAATAGCATTTCTCCATGGTTTCTACTTCAGTTCTTGCCTCCAGATTCCTGCTTGAGTTTCTGCCTTGACTTCCCTTCATGATAGACTGTAATCCATAAGATGAAATAAACTCTTTCCTCCTCAAATTGCTTTTGGTCATGGTGTTTTGGAACAGCAGTAGGAAGCAAGCTAGAACAGAAATTCGTACCTGGAATGAAGTATTGCTGCAACATACCAGACCATGTTGTTGCAGAGAGGATTGTGGAAGAGTTTGAAACTTTAAGCTAAAAATTATGGTGGTGGTTTGAATAAAAATGGCTCCTATATGCTCATACATTGGAAAGCTTAGTCACCAGGGTATGAAACTGTTTGAAAGGATTAGAAGGATTAGGAGGTATGGACTTGGAGGAAGTGTGTCATTAGGGGTTGGATTTGGTGTTTCAAAGCCCATACCAGGACCAGTGGTGCGCTCTCTGTCTCTCTGTCTCTCTGTCTCTGTCTCTCTCTCTCTCTACCTGTGGATCAGGATGTAGTTCTTAGCTACTGCTCCAGTGCCATGCCTGCCTATCTGCTGCCATGCTCCCTGCCATGATGATAATGAACCAATCCTCTGAAACTGTAAGAAAGCCCCCAATTAAGTGCTTGCCTTTATAAGAATTGCTTGGTCATGGTGTCTCCTAGCAGCAATAGAAACCCTAACTAAGACTAAGGCCATTGAAGACTCAGAGACTGATGTGTTGTTGTGGGAACTTGGAAGACAAGAATACTGAGAGCAGTACAGATGATAGTGGCCTGGCTTGTGATGTTTCAGAGGGGAGTTTTAGAGTTCCTCAAAGACTACCAAGACCATTCATGTGACAGTTTATATTAAAAATCTGTGGTTCCTGGTCTGTTGGGGCTGAAGAATCAGCTATCTTTAATAAGAGATCAGAACCACTGAAGTAAAACTTTTACTTTACTGAAACAATTTGATGCTGGTTATCTGGGGCTGTGATTAAGAGACAAACATCATTGAGGTGAAATCTCCTGGGAATATTTCCTCAGGGTCAGCACACAAACAGTATGGTCCAGGATAGCTAAGGCTACACCTCATGCTAACAGCCAAACTTGGTAATGTCTCCTCCATGGTACTGGTTTAGAAGGTACAAATGAGTCTTGGAAAATAGCTGAGGCCTGTCACCATGAGAGACTGGTAAAGGTGTGGTCTCCATTGCAGTGGAGAACTCAGCACTGAAAGGTTTGGGGAGCATAACATGAAGGTCCTTGTGCCCACAGATCTCCAGAGAAACCAAGAATGCTAAGCACACAGGATTGTCTTTCCAATGGGAAAGATGGAAAAACCTATTTTTCCATCTAGAAAACTAAGAATTGGGAGTGATAAACAGCCTGGTGATCTGTGTTATCTGTTGGGCCTTGCCATATCACGCTCTTACAACCAAGACCGGAGGTGTCTAGTGATCTAAATGACCCTTACAGCCAGAGGCTCCCCCAAGCTTCCACAACCTGGACCAGAAGTAGCTAATAGCCAAAGTAACCTCTACTCTATCTGTATGACCAAGGCCAGGCCAGACCCTTAGGCCCTTAAGCTAGCACAGGTAGCCTATCTCTAGAACCCATCTCCTTGGAAGACATGACATGTACCCTGAGTTGAGTTTCAATGTAATTACACCTCTTTGTTCACCTGGGATTGTATTACACCAGGAAATAATTTTTAATTAAATTTATTTATTTATTTTACATCCCAACCTCAGTTTCCCCTCCCTCCTTTCCTCCTATTCCCTACCCCACCCCAATCGATTCCTCTGTTTCTGTTCAGAAAGAGGCAGGCCTCCCATGGATATCAACAAAACACAGCACATCAAGTTACAGTAGGACTTTTTTTTCAAATTGCACTGGGCTTAAACACACTGGGAATAAAGCACCTGTTATTAGACTCCCTGAAGTCTGATGCGTGTGTTGATAAAGTCGATCTGCACCAGGTTTTCATTCTTACTTCTTTGCATGGTTTGCTTCCCTGTGGAAACTTGCAGGGACTCCCTCAGAAATGGTCATGGAAAGAGGCTACAGCTTGGTACCTTGTGACAGGGTTGGAGTCCCTGAAGAGAACCTAGGCAAGGCTACCGTAAAGGTTTAGCCTCAGTTGCTATGCAGAGCCCAGCATGTTGAAGATGCCAGAACTGTGGATGACCATCAAAGACAGCAGCAGCTATGAAGTGAAGCGCTGCGGCTCTGAGCCTATGAGACGAGTTGCATGTATTGCAGGTAGCAGAGCCAGGGAAGTGGAGTTGCCTAAGCCCTTTGGACTCAGAAGATCATGAGTGAATCCCAGACATTGCACACACTGGGTCATTTGCAAGACTGGATATTTGTTTTTGCTCTGATTTGATTGTAACTGTACCGTTTCTTCCCATTTCAAGGAAGAATTTAACTTGATGTTTGTTTTCCAGGCGCCCACAGCTGAGACACTTTCTTTTTTAAAAGAATACTTCATTTTAAATTGTTGAAATTTTTTTCAGTTTTTAAATTTTTTCGGTTATTTTTATTTTATATGTATGGTGTTTTGTCCGCATGCGTATGTGCACTGTGCATACAGTACCTGTAGAGGCCAGAATAGATCATCAGATTCCCTGAGACTGTGGGTGCTGGGAACTGAACCTACGTCCTTTGGAAGAGTATCCAGTGCTCTTAGATGCTGAGCCATCTCTCCAGCTACTAAGAATACTTTTAATACATATATTTCCTATATTTTTAAAGCTAAAAGAAAAAAATACCATGTTAGGTTTTTAAAGGGAGAAAAGCCCTAAGACCAAAATTAGAATTCTTCCTTTTAAGATAAAGATTGTGGCAACCTCCAAAACACTGCCCTCATAAACGATGTACTTCTAATTTTAGTAAATACGTGCACTGCCTTTCAAATCATGTTTCTAAACTTAAAAATAAAAACCTTAATGCACCAAAGGCAATTGTTACTCTTATAAGTGAGTTCAACTTCCTACTGCAATTACTTATAATATTTAGTTTATAAGAGAAAATGTAGTGGGTGTTTATTAGAAGAGTTGTTAAGGCCTTGGACATATGCACAGACAGCTGTAGCATGGCAGAGGTGCTGAAGAAAATGAAGCAGAATGGGAGATCTCCCTTCCTTACAGGTCTCAGAGGAGAGGGGGAAGGTTCACAGAACACCAGTGCAGTCAAGCTGTCTGATTCCTTGACAGCAGAGGGGAGAGAGAATTCCCTGGAAGGAATATTTGACTGGATTCTGAGCATGTGGACTCAATGTGGAGAAAGCAGCACACATCTGGTTGAGGTGCCTCCACAAGACAGGTGGAGGAATGTGTCGCTCCCGGTAACCCTCTGACATCCAGTACAGTCTGGCAACCTGAGATCTGCAAGCTTCCTCAGGGAAGTGAGAGTGGTGCCTGTCACTCTTCTGGAATCCAGAAACTGCCAGTCAAACCTGATGAAACTTTTGGGGTAATTATTGGTCACTTACCATGTAAATTTATTCATGTGGAAAAAGTTCAGTTAGACTGCACTAAAGCAAGTTAGACTTAGGAGGACATAATTTGCCTAGGCCTCCACTAGACAATAGTGAGCTTTTAACCTAGTGCCCCAGGGGTTGGAAAGATGGCTCAGTGGTTAAGAGCACTATCTGTTCTTCAAGAGGACCCAATTCCCAGCACCCACATAGCAGCTCACAGCTGTCTGTAACTCCAGTTCTAGGGTACCCAACACCCTCATGCAGGCAAAACACCAATGCACATAACTCAGTGACCCAAATGCAAAATAACATGTATAACTGGGTATGTAATATATATACAAGTATATAACATGTATAACTGGGTATGTAATATATATACAAGTATATAACATGTATAACTGGGTATGTAATATATATACAAGTGAGAGATGCAGTACCATGACTGTACATGCTGTACATGGCACTCTGACTAAAAACAATTTTTTGTTTATTTGTTAATCTCCTCGTACCAAAACTGAAGCAAGATTTCAATACTGACTGCTTAAACTTTTGAAGACGTTCAGCAAGTAAAGAGAAAAAATTATCCTTATTGGAGATGCAAAATTAGAGTTGAGGAGACAGCTCAGTGGAGTAGGTATTTACTAAGCAAGCCTGTGGACCAGAGTTTGGACTCCTACAACCTAGGTAAAACCTTGGCAGTTATTTTGACTGCCTGTAACCCTAGAACTTGAGAAGCAGATAGAGGGGATCCCTGGATCAAACTGGTAGCCAGAATCAGCAAGCTCTTTGTTCAGTGAGAGACAATGCTTCAATAAAGTAGAGAGCAAAAAAATAAATAAATAAATAAAGGCAAGAGGAACTGAAGATGCTCTACAGCAGCCTTGGGCTTTCCCATGCACACGTGTTTATACACACCCCTCACACACTGTGCACCCCATACACACTGTACCCATACATATGCACACATACACATGCAGAAAAGAGGTGTATGTAAAATGACCTGCATTTGCAGATTTGACTTATTAATATGAGTACAAAAGGGCTTTACATGTGAATTTTATCTCACCATAAATTATATAAGTTTAAGAGTAAGTGTGAGAAAAGAAAAATCTCTATAGAAGTTAAGGCAGATTTCTTATAAAAAACAATCGGCCATAGTGGAGTGTGGGACAGAATCATGTTGAAAGTCAATATTATTCTATACGCTGTTATACAAAATTGTCAGCCATTCTCTCTGGAATACAAGTCAAGCACCCTTCCTCTTTTCTGTCACATGGGCTGTCCATTCAGAAGGTTTTTATTATTTTTCCATTTCTCTGATTTTGGTGGTCTGTGGAACATTAACACACACACAATTATAAAGCTTCTCCTGAATTCTAAGAGAAGTTCACCTTCTTAAGGAGTACCCTCAACTCAAGTTTCCTTCCTATCAATGGCCAGTTATTAGTGAATTTTTTAATGTAGAAAAACAATCAATTGCTGAGTTTCCTTTTAGTGGGTACAAAATGAAAACTAACCATGCCCATTATTTCAGAGTCCAATTCAACTAACACGGTTCCTAGATAGCAAAGAAAGATGCTTCTGTGAGAAATGCAGTGTGCTGTTACCCAGCCAAAGGTTTCCTCTGCTTTCCTTCCTGGGTCTTTGCTGACATGGAATGCAGGTTCACCCCTTTCTTCATGTAACATTTCCTCAGAGCTGTCCCATAAAGTCCAGAGAAGTAGAGCAGGAATCTTACAACAGAAGTTGCTAGAAGGATTTGGGAGGGAGAAGGAGAAGAGGGCATTAGAGGATTTGGAGGAAGGTGGTGTTAGATAGATATGATCAAAAATGCATTTAATATACTTATGAATTTTTCAAAGAATAAATAAAAGTATTTTATAAAGTTGCTAAAAGTCAGTGGGTACATACTGATAAATCCTGAAGGGCATTGTATATTTAGCATGCAATAAGACATGGGGAAATTATGCATAATCTTAGTTGACAGAAATTTGAGATAAAGCTCTTTAAGAGTACATTAGCTACCTATATGTTTTGGTGATAAAACATAATGACCAACACAACTTATGGAAAAAATGAGTTTATTTTGGCTTATATAGAAAAAAAATGAGTTTCTTTCAGCTTATGGTTCCAGAAGGATAAAAGCCCATCATGCATCATGATACAGAAGCACGGCAGCCAGAGGCATGCATGGCAGCTGGAGCCAGAAGCTGAGAGCTCACATCCTCAATTACAAGTGTGAAGCGCAGAGAGCAAACTGGATATAGGGTGAAATTATAAACACTCAAAACCCGCTCTCAGTGGCATCCTTCCTCCAGGAAGGCCACAACTCCTAACCATCCCTGAATAGCACCGTCAACTGGGGACCAAGTGTTCATGACTCATGCATGAGTCTATGGGGGACAACTTGTATTCAAACCAGCCCATTCCACTCTATGGCCTCCACAGACTCATGGTCATATCATAATGCGAACTGCATCCAGTCAAGCTTTCAAATGTCCCCAGGCTTTAAAAGCCCCAACACTGCTTAAAAGTCCAACATCCAAAGTCTCTTTTGTGACTCAAGGCAATCTCTTAATTGTAGCTCCCTGTAAATAAAAAAAAACAAAAACAAAAACAAATTACTTACTTCCAATCAACATACAATGGCACAGAATATGCATTATCATCCCAAAAGGGAGGAAAGGGACCAAAGGAAGACAAGAATCCAGAATGGCAAACACTAAACCCTGTAGCTCTTTGTTCCATGTTAAAGGACTTAGATGGCTCTGACCTTTCAGCTTTGGTACCTACAACATACATCTCCTTCTTAGATGCTTTCACTTCATGTATGCTGCTCTCCTGGGCAGACATCTCACAGCTCTGACATCACTAACTTCTTGGGGACAGGCTTCATTTTCACAGCTTCATATAATGGCCTCCCAGGGCCTTCATCCAAGGACTCCCCTAACACTCTCTGCCTGGGCTCTCTGTAAACACAGAAGAAGAGGAATCTACAACCCCTTCACTCTGCATCTTTCATGCCCCTAAAGCCCACACCACATGAATGATACTGCCAAGTTAGGCTGCCAACTCGGGATGGATCTACACTTCCCTGGACCCCAGGAGCAGCAGCTTTTATTTGCTGTTGCTTTCTAGAAGCAGAAACCACTCTAGGCTCTCTTTCCCACGTCAGAAGCTTAGCTGGGTGGAGTCTTGCCCTGAAGGAACCCTACCATTTATTCAAGTGCAAAGCAGACCTCTCCTTAGTGGTATTAATCTCCTTAACAATTATAGCCCCTCTTCCAGCCAATCTTTATCTCTCCAAACTATACATTCTGTATTTCTTTTTGTCCCACTTTCTCTTTATCATCATAGACCAGCAAAAGCATTATGGATAATAGTCATGCCACACTCAGCATTATGCAGCATGGCCATTTCCTCTGCCAAAGAAATTACTCCACGGTTTTCATGACCTGGACAAATTATCGTTGTTAAAATATCCATATTATCTAAAATAATTTATAGATTCAAGGCAATCCTTATGTCAAAATACTAACGGCATTGTCTACAGAGCTAGAAGGATAATCCTAAAAAAATTATATAGAAGCACACATGTCCCAGAATAGCCTAAGTAATCTTGAGAAAAAAGAACAAAGTTTGGAAGTATTGCATATTCAAAATGGAAATAACTATGAAGCATGGCATTGGCATATAAAAAATACACAGAAGTGGAATAAAATAGAGAAAAAACTGTGTGAGTTTATAACCAACTTATCCTTAAAACGATGTCAAAAACCATGGTGTCCACTCCCACATAGTAGAATGAAACATGAAGCTTTCTCTCTGTACCAGAATCAACACAAATGGATCCAATACCTTAATAGAAGATCTGAAACTACAAGAGGAAAACATGCGAGGGGGTGTAAATGTTTAAACACATGCAACAGTTTCCTGGACAGAACTCCCAGGCCACTTCTTAAAATTCAGCTTCAGGCGAGTTCTTAGGAAAAGGGCAGAAGGCAGCCAGTTTCTTTGCCAAAATAGCACAGAAATGGGCTCTAGTCCAATTGCTAATATTGTTCCCTTCTGAAACCTTGTGAGCCAGGCTGCTACATTCTGCAGTACTCTCAGCACTAGTCTTCAAGGCTCCTGCTAAGGTCTGCTTACGGCATCCAACTTTTCTACAAAGTTTCAGTCTTCCACATTCCTCTGAAAAACAACATGCTCATGCGCTATACAGCAACAGCCTCCTCTCTGGTTTCCAACTTCTGCCATCAGTTCCTTTCCTGTTGCTGTGATAAAACACCATGAGCAGAAGCAACTTACAGAATGGAGGGTTTATTTAGGCTCACGGTTCCAGAGAGATCACCATGGCAGGGAAGCAGGGCAGCAAGCAGCAGGCACGGCAGCCAGTGGGAGCAGGAAGCTGAGAGCGCGCATCCTCAACTGCAAGCAGGAAGCAGAGAGAGGAACTGGAAGTGGGGTGAGACTGTAAACACTCAAAGCTCACCCCTAGTGGCATACTACCTCCAACAAGGCCACACCTCCCAAACCTCCCCCAAATAGCACCAGCAACTGAGAACCAAGGGTTCAAATACATGAGCCTATAAGGGACATTCTTATTTAAAGCATGAAAAAGTTAACTTAATATGAATTGGAGATAGCAGAAATTCTTTAACGGGGCACTGCCCTGATTATGGCTTTATAAGTAGTTCAGTGCACTGGGCAAACTAATTAATACTGTGCTGGCAAATGGCCCTAATTTAAAATATTGAAAAATATTAGATGCTAACAACTATAAAGTACCTAGAAATTAGAAAGAAATATTACTGCATGTCTTTATCTACTGGTGGTTCTTGGTGACAGGCTGTCACTGTGTCGCTCAGGCTCTTCTCAAACTCACTGTGTAGTTGGAGAACTAGCTTTGAACACATCATCTTGCCTCAGCTTTCCAAGTAGTTACATTGCAAGCCAGTGTCACAATGCTGGGCTCATATGTACTACCTTAAAAGAGCTAGACTCTGATGTCCCCAACCTCCTAAATGATAGGATCATCACTGAATTGCAAAGAAATCATTTCTAAAATAGACTTCGAAAGATTATGACATTTTCTCTGAATATTATGTGTATGTCTCTCTCACACACACAAATATTTAGGAACCAGTTTTTGAAAAATTATCCAAAGCAAGTAGAAACAGAGTTCTGTCCCAGCTTTTCTTTTGGCCAATTAGTAGAAAAGAGAGAGCGAGCTAGTGTGTGTGTTATGTGTGTGGATATAATATGAATATAATACACATATATATATACAGCTATTGGTAAATTGCTAAAATTACTATGACATTAATATAACATTAAAAAATGTTTTAAATGGCTGCCAAGAGCTGGATGTGTTGGCTTACACCTATAATTTCAACAGTAAGGACACTGAAGCAGGATGATCACAAGCTCAAGGCCTGCCAAGGTTACACAGTGGGGCTAACATGGCTAGAGGGACATTCTCAATAAAGTGACTGCCAAGGTATAATTTTTATCAAGTACTGGACTGGACTGATTGTTGTACAAAGTTTAGCATACAACCAAAAAAGAGGAACTCCTAATGACAAAAGATAAAATCCTGCCATAGACATTCATGATTAAATGATGGTATTCATCACCATATGGGGTTCCTTGTGGATTAGGTTAGCTGAAGCATGACAAGCTAAAATCTTTTTCTAAAGTGGGTGCTCTGATGACCTGTGGTGGATGATGCACAACAGAGCCATGCTGTCGGTAATCCAACCCAGTCAGTAATGATCTAATACACTGAGATAGGAGTTTCATGGGCACACAAAGAAAGAGACCATGAAAAAGAAAGACACTGCCATTACCTGAGCAGAGGCCCAGGGTGTTGTGGCCACAGTGTCCACATCTACCAGTCTGCACATGAGGGTTAGTAAAGAAGTTTCTTACTCCAAGTATAGAGCTCTACCTAAAAGAAACTGGTTCTGCACCCCACTGGGAAGATGTTTACACCAAGCCAGTACCTACTTACCAAGACAGAAAATTCTCCAGCTGTTGACAGTTCTGAGGGTCATAAAGTCATTCTTCTGGCAATAAATCTAACTACCTTAGAATCGACAACTGGTGTTTTCCTCAAGAATTTGTTTGGAGAACAGATTGTAATGAACCCTCAACCATGAGGAATAGACTCCTTTCCCATGTCAAGTCCTTTGTTTTAGTAAAAGACATATAGTCCTAGTTCAACAATTTACCTTTTCAGTAATTGTGCCCGTTATTGTGTCTTGCACCCCAAATTTCACAGTGAATGATACCAAAGCACGTTAAAGATGATGGAGTACATAAGAGTCTATTCAACATATATAGTCTGAAACCTTAGGAATACGTATGATTTGGCCGTGCTCAACATTATGGGACCTAATGGAAGAGAAAAAAAAGATAATCTTCATTTTCAAATAATAACTGGGTAAGTAGAAGAACTCCTTTACTAATTGAACTTAGATACAGAAAACACAGTTAACTGGAAAGGACACCGAGATAGGGTTTTTTTTTTTTCCATAGTAAAGTTTTCATTTAGTACAAACCTGTGTGGTTTTGACCAATTCCTTATTTCAAACAGTGGGAATTTTTTTAAGCCCAAGTAATAATGTATTTAATTACTTGAGAAAATAACCTAATGAAACAGTAATTCATATAAATTCAAGCATTATTCAAACACATTTCAAATACTGAAGTTTCAAATGGAACACTTTATTTACATGTTAGTTGTCTTCATTAACATATACGCACTGACACACTGATTGTTCTGCACAGAACAAATGATGTCTAGATATCCCAAAGGGAAATCAAAATTTAAAATATATTATTTTTAGTATTGTAGGCAATTACATACACGTCACTTACAAAGCTATTACTGATCTGTCCAAGGAAGCAGAGTGGTGGAGAGGGAAGAAACTGGAGTATGCATTCAAGAGTGCCATAACTGAGGTCTCAACATGAGAAAGCTGACAAAACATGGATTTTTGCTGTGAAATTTCTCTGCAAAATATGGACAAAAGTCTGTCAATGGGCAGTAAATTGCAGTCAATCTTCGCACATTACAGTGCAGAGGCATCAATGAAATTGTTTAGTCCTTCTCTGGGACCAATTTCAGAACTTTGCCAATTGCGATTGTCTTACCCTCATCTCTTAAAGTAAAACGACCCATCTGAGGAAAATCTTTAAATGTCTCCAGGCAGATAGTTCCTGCTGTCCTTAATCGGGCAATACACACTTGATCTTGTTTCACAAAGCGTGGCCGTGTCTTACTTTTTTCTCCTGATTTCTTGTCTACCAAGGAGATTAAGGCTGTTATCTCAACTTCCTCAATACAAGTATGGATGTGAAGCACCGCGTTATAACCTGGGCAGATGATAGATTTGTGTTCAATAATCACAATCTGAACATCAAATGTGCGTCCAGAGTGGCAAAGATTACTAGGTTCACAAAGTATGAAGCCTGGAAGAATCTCTTCTTCTTCAATTCCTTTCAGTCTGATTTTGAGGTTTTCACCCGGGGCTACAAAATCAGTCTCAGCATCATCAGAAACTATTCCTAGAACCTCCACATTGTGCTTGTTGGGCATCATCACAAGCTGCTGGCCTTTAAAAATGGATCCCGATTCCAGTTTTCCCAGGACCACAGTGCCCATATCCTTGTACTTATCCACAATTGGCAACCTAATTGGTCCATCAGTTGATCTGTTGAAGTTTGGCAAACTATCCAAATATGGAATAAATGGTAATCCAGTGTACCAAGGGCAGAAATCTGACTGCTCTTTAATATTTGCTCCAGTCAGTCCTGAGCAGGGCATAAAGTGAATGTCCTTTTTCGGACTGAAGCCAACTTTTTTCAAAAACGGGACCAGTTTCTCTTTACATTCTTCATATCGCTCACTGCTCCAATCTACCGTAGGATCATCCATTTTATTAATAAGCACTATTAAGTATTTTACCCCTGCTGTTTTTGCCAACATCGCGTGCTCTCGTGTCTGTCCACCTTTTTCAAATCCAGTTTCAAATTCTCCTTTCCTGGCAGAGATGACCAGCACAGCCAAATCAGCTTGAGAAGCACCACCAATCATATTTGGGACAAAACTCTTGTGGCCAGGGGCATCTAAAATTGTGAAATGTTTCTTTTCGGTTTCAAAATACGCACGGCCCACTTCCACTGTTTTACCCTTGTCTCTTTCCTCTTGGTTTGTATCTAAGGCCCAGGACAAATACCAAGTCTCTCTATTCTTCTCCTTAGCTTCTCTTTCGTATTTCTCAAGTGTCCTTCTGTCAACCATTCCAGTCAAAAACATTATTTGTCCTCCAATGGTTGACTTGCCAGCATCTACATGCCCAATGAACACCACATTTACGTGTTCTTTCTTAGGAGCACCTGACGGTATGACCATAGATTTTGATTTCCTTATTTCCTCTTTCTCCTCCATCATTTCCTTGCCACTTTCTTCTGGGGGCCCCGAATCTCCCAAAGAACCCCCAGGCTTTGCTTCACTTACTTCTTTAAGCTCCCACGATTCATCCAGGGCCATCTCCACCTCTCCATTTTCTACAACAGGTTCTGAAAGTTCCATGGTAACGGCTGAACTGGAACCTTCCCACGACACTAAAGGTCCATCTTTGGAAGGTTCCACAGGTGCTCCCCATCCCAGCCTTTTACCTTGAGGGTCTCCGGCGCCGCCGGGGCAGGTTTCGTCACTGCTGGAGGCTGTGGGGGCGGGCGGCTGGGCCGAGCCCGGCAGGAAGGACGGCACGAACTCCGCGGCGCTTACGCTAGTAGGCACGAAAGGTTTGGCGTTGATGTTGAGCTGACTGCTGAAGGCCGTGCTGAGATGCTGGCGCTGGGCCTCCGCTTCTGCTGCCTCGGCCGCTGCCGTGACCGCAGTGGCGATGCCATCCCCACTCGGAGCCGAACCCGGGGCTTCCATGTCCACCTGATCCCAGCAGTCGGGAGCTGAGTCGCTGCTGCTGCCGAGATCCATGTCTGAGCAGCCGGGGTGCGGCGGAGAAGGAGGGAGGGAGGCAGGTCAGAACGTGCTGTTCCCACCGATGGTGGTAAGGCAGAACAGCCAAGGGCCACGGGATAGCTACGCGAACCTTAGCGGCGCAGAGGCAGCAAAGCGCAGATGCTGCATCCACAGCTGCGGCGGCGGCGGCGGCAGATATGGCCGCTCAATGCTCGGCTCCTGTGTGTAAGCGAATCTCCTCCCCCAAATCCCAATCACTTCCGACTCCTCCACCCCTGACCCAATGCCTGTGGTGAATTGACCCCTTGCTGCCATCCGTAGGTTTGTCCCCTTTAGTTCTCCGACAGAGGCTAAGTCCAAAAGTACAGTTTTTAAAATGAGATTTTCTATTTACTTTGGTTCATATGATCTGGGAGAATGATTTGACTACGTCCCAAGTCCCAATGATTAAACCTTATATACACCTGACTTCAAATTCTGCTAAAATTTTCGCGTAAAATGAAAACCCCTATTGAATAAATGGAAAGCAAAATGAGCAACCCAAGGGGGGAACCTAAGTAGTGCTCAGACGGGATTTATGAAATGTATAAAAATAGTCATTGCAACTTAAGATCACTTATTAATTTGAAATCCAGAGGCTTTTTTGTTCCCACTAGTGCCCTATCAGCTTCCACTTTAAGGACAGGGATAAAGATCTTTTTAAATTTCCAAGGAAGGCAATGTTTCAACCATGCCCTCTAGCCATTTCTAACCATGTGCCAGTACCTGGACCATAGCTGGCAAGTCATTCTGTGGACTAAGGCCAGCCGTGCTTTTCCAACCAACTGTATTCTGGGTATACCTGTCCTATTCATGGGGACTTCTCCAAGAGTATTCTCTAGAATCACCGGCCAGGATGGTTCAGCTTCATTCTGAGAGCCTGAAATGGGAACTGTGTTTACAAATAAGAATCAATGAAGTTGTAGTAGTTAAAAGAAACTGTGGCTGTAAGCTCAATTACAGCAGCTATGACCTCTGAGGTTAAAAAAAAAAAAATTAAGTCTATTAGAATCAATAGACTATCACCCTCAGAAAAGGTTGACATTTTATCTAAATCCTGGATAACATTGTTTGTACATTATCTTATAGCAGAGAGAGGGAAGCAGGAGATAATACAATTTGCTTTTCCTATGTGGAGTTTTAGACATTGATTTTAAATCAACCCAACAACGAAGTAAGATGTTACAGACCAAGTGAATGACTGGTGATTTTAGAATTGTGGTCTCCATACTTTATGGGAATAGCATGGCCCTTGATACTGTTCAATTTAGAGCTGCCACAGCTGTATGCTATTCCCAAGCCTTTGGATATCCCTTCATCCTTTTTCCTTAGGTAATGATTTATTTATTTAATTTATTGTGAGATAAAGGGAATTAATAGGAAAAACTGAGAGGTGAAATGTAAAGATGGCCTTCTGGACAGTACCCCACACATGTACTGGGACATTTTGTGATAGGTTTCTTTAAATGGGTTGAGGAGAATTTGTCAAAGTTTAGGGGGCTGTTGTCACTTAAAGCAATTTATTCAGATAAAAAGGACAGATTTAGAATTTTGCCTTCTTCTGAGTCAACTGAATTAGTCATAAAAATATTAGCAAGATTGTTGCTGTGTTATCTGTTGGAGAACACAGGCTTCTCTGCTTTGATAACATTAAAGGAGAAAGGAAAAATAGTGGATGGATGTCCTTACAGTCTGTCAGTCATAGGATTCAGAAAGAGGCAAGAGGCAGGCCAGAGAGACAGAGACAGACATAGAAAGGGACAGAGATTCACTTCTCTGAAAATAATTGACCTTGGACAAAACCCTTGGTTTGTGAGGGAGCATTTGTCTTTAAAGGGTTTATCACTAAATCAAAGATTTCCCCACTATATTTTTAAGTACAAATGACATTCATACATTTTGGTAAGTTTAATATTTCCCCTTTTAAAACATTTTATTGTAAAATATAGCACAAAGATAATTGCTTAAAGCCAGGCAATGATAGTGAATGCCTTTAATCCCAGCACTCAGGAGGCAGAGGCAGGCGGATCTCTGTAAGTTTGAGGCCATCCTGGTCTACAGAGCAAGATCCAGGACAGCCAGAGCTACTTACACTGGGAAACCTTGTCTCAAAAAAAAAAAAAGATAATTGCATAAAACAAAATTATGCTTATTTTCTTATAAAAAGGCAAAAACACAATTCAGGTTGGGCACCCCATAGTCATTTGTTCTCTGAAGTTTGACCTAAGGCTCAGGGAACATCCAGAAGGAGAGAAGAAAGATTGAGTACCACAGTGTTTGCTTCAGGATAGTGTCTTCTATATATGACAGAGAAACTTCATACATGATATCTCAACAAGATGCCTAAAGAAGACCTACACAATAATAACACTAGTTGGCATACCAATGTGGATGGGAAAATTTTCATAAGTGCTCTAGAACTGCAGTTATCAACCTGTGGGTCGCGACCCCTTTGGCAAACCTCTATCTCCAGAAATATTTACATTACAGTTCATAACAGTAGTAAAATTACAGTTATGAAGTAGCAACAAAATAATTTCATGGCTGGGGGTCACCACAACATGAGGTACTGTATTAAAGGGTCGCAGCATTAGGAAGGTTGAGAACCACTGCCCTAGAAGAAGAGCTATTAGGTTGAAGAGCTAATGGCTGCTGAGAGCCATTCAATCTTTTCCAAGGATGAAACCCCTGGTAGGTTATCCAGTCTGAAGTAGTCAGCCCTCAACACGTATACACATGAGCAACACTAAATGAACTCATCAGGTTGTGTTTGTATATACATATTATGTGTGTGTAATTATTAGAGAAGAAAATGTCATGAATTTGAGAGTGAGTGGAAGGGATGTAAGATGGAGTTAGGGGAGACAAAGGAGGGGGAAATAAAGAAAGTAAATACTCATGTATGAAAGTCTCAAAGAATTTAAAAAGCAAATAAAGAAACAAAAAATATTGCCTTATAAATATTTTATAAAAAGGAAACACACCTATAACCAACATATAAATCAATAAATGGAAATTTGTACCAGATGTTGTGGTACACGTATGTAATTTTAGGATTTGGGAAGTGGAAATAGGAGAATCAGGAGTTCAAGGTCAGTTAGGTACCTAATAAGGGACTAGATAGAAGAGGGGATCTTCTAAGGAGAGGGAAATAGAATATTAGTGTTATAAAGAGACAATGGTGAAACTTTGAAATCTCTTTCCTACTATATTCAATACTATAAATTTCCTCATAGATAATTCTTTAATAGTATCCCATAGGCTTAGATGGTGTTTCCATTTTTATTTAGCAAAAAATTTAATTTCCCAATTAATTTATCTTATGATTCATAAGTTATATAACTTAATTTAGTTTCCAAATTTTTAGTGATTTCCTATGATCATTCTATTATGGATTTCTAATTGAAAACCATGTTGTCTGAGAAAATATGTGTATGATTTGAGGCTTTGAATTTGAAGGGATTTATTTCATTCCTTATAATATGGTTTATATCAGTAAATATTCCATGTGTATTTGAGAAAATGTGACTCATAATATTGTTGTTGAATATGTGATATATGTCTGTCAAGTCTAGATGGCTGATTGTATTGTTCAATTTATATCTTTGATGATTTTCTGCTTACATTGACAGAGGTCATTGAAATTCCTGAATAAAATTATTGATTTTAATATTTCCCTCTTCAGCTCTATCAGGTTTACTCCAAAGATTTGATACTCTTTTGCCAGGTATGTAAACATTTATGATTGATATGCTCTCTTATTTATTTATTTAGACAAGATTTTACAATATACTCCAGGCTAACCTAGATCTCATTATTCTCCTACCTTGGTATCCAGATACAGCATGTCTTCTTATTAAATTGATTGCTTTATGACTATTAAACATCCTTCTTTTACTGTACTCTTACTGTATAGTTAACAATGGACTCTCTATCAAAGCTTTTATTTTTATCTTATTTGCACCTTCAAAAATAGGTGTATTTATTTGCACATGGGCTTTGTGATAGAGCTCTAACCTAGCACAGATGAGACCCTACATATGAATCCTACTACCACAAAAACAAAAAACAGTGGCAACAACAATAAAAAAAACAAGTACAGTCCTTGTCGACAACACATTTGCCTTTTTATATACTTTATTTTATCTTGTTATGAAAGATATTCTTTCCAGATATTGAATTTTTCCTGGACTTTTTTTCTTTTAAAATTTCAGTGGCATTCAATATTTTCTTACTTGAATTGTTCCCATTGAGAAATGCAATGATATTATCATTGTTTCTCTGTACCTAATGTAGCTTTTATCTCTTAGTGCTTTTAACATTTTCTCTTTTTTCATTGCCATTAAGCAGTGATTAACTATAATGTGAATTGGTGTACCTTTTCCCATTTTTCATTAGTGTCCTCTTTCCTCTCCTTTATTTTTCTGATATATATATATACATATATATGAAATACATACATATACATATATGAAATCTAGAATTAACAGATGAAAAATCATAGAATTCTTTCTGGGTTTGGTTTAGTTCAATTAACAGGATGATCTTAATTTGTATCCATTTTCTATGGGTTAGGGATACAGCTCAGCGGTAGAGTGCTTCCTGAGCATGTATGAAACTAAGTTCAGTAACTAACACTGCAAAAGAAATTCATCATATTTACTATTTCTTTCAGCACTGAGCCAACTGTTTGAAAAACACTTGATAGACATAAACTATCTAAAATGTAGTCCTTGCAGTTAAATAGTTTTTAACTTAGTTGCATTTAAAATACACATAATTTTCCTGGCATTTTTTTTCTTAGCACTTAAAATATATCATCTCACTGTTTTGTTGTATTCATTATTCCAATAAGAATCCAATTGACAATATTATTAGGATCTTTCTAAAACATAGCTCTCTTCTTGCTTTCAATATTTTCTTTGTCTTTCAGCATTTTGTGCTTCTGCCTGGTCTTGATTTTGTCATGCTTAGAGTTCATCAGGCTTGGTATAGATTCTTCTATCCAAAATTGGAGTTTCCTTGAATTTTTTCCCTTACTGTGCACCATTATATGTATGCTAATGGGATTAATGGGGAATCTCACCTTTTTCTGAGTCTCTGTTTTCTCAACAATCTTGTCTCTTTCTGTGCTTCAGATTGAAGAATAACATTTGATCTGTCTTAAAGTTGGTTGATTACAACTCTGACTGTTCAAGATTAGTG